ACAAGTCAATCACGGTTGTTTGTTCGTACTTAACTTGACGGCCGAGGGGTAAATAATGTAGTACGTGACTGGTCAATTTGTTCTCGTCTCCACCCAAAACATCACTTATTTCCTGTATCTATCGGAGGATGTCGCTCCCCTTCTACCAAATTAATATAACAGATGCCAAAGGTGTTTTTGGGGGGCACGCGGTTCGTTAAATTCGTACGTTAAGTGGAGCATTTTATATCCTCACGCATACGGATACGGGTTGCAGAATTTTGGAAAGGCTGAATGAAGTGGCGAGTTTATAAAGCCCCTTTTCAATGCGGTTTTCAACCGTTGTCACTCTCTTTAACACTACCTTTATAAAAACCCTAAAAAGTAAACACTTTCTACTCCCTATAGACACATTTTATTCATAATAATCGGAGGGTTGAATGGCAGTTAAAGTGATATCAATATTTTGACCGTGCCGGACACAATATAAATCCTGTTCATTCATCTAACTGTCCATCCATTCACCACAATTACCACGTGGTGTGTGTGGGGGGTTTTTAGCCACGCGCTCTCGCACCGTCCAGTTCGTTTATTATATACGAAAATGTTACGATTTTAATGTGTAAAGCTCGGTTATCCGTGCCGAAATATTGCCAATGGTTTGTAGCAGATGTTGCGATTTTAACCGGACGTACGGGGGTGTGGGAAAATATTCTACTTCCTTCCCCCGGCCGGAAGTTACCTGTACGCGTCCCACCTGTACTCGTGCTGCTACTGTCCAACTGATAATGTGTAGCAACGGATAATCGAATTAATTATATTCTTCGGTTATCGGAAGAGAAAGTGGAAAATCGATGAAAGTTTCCACTCCCGCGTGTGCTTTCCCCCCCCCCTTCTTAAACGTGCATAATGGGGGAGAAGTTGGAAGGGTTTCTCATATAAATAAATAAACAGGAGTTCGCAAAATGTCAATAGGCTACGTCACCTATCATGCAACAATGTCCCTATCGAAAATTGAATTATGTAGTTTGTGTGTGACGTCGGAGAGGCGTCGAGATGGCATAACCGATAGACCTTCTTTATGTATCGATGCGACGCTTTTATATCAATATTCCGATAGACAATACCTGTTAGTTGCTGCAAAATATCACTTTTCGAAGAATCCCAACGTTTTCGTCCTTTCGATTTTGGCTAAAATACGTCACACTATACTAAATTAACACCAGAAAAAAGAAGAATAACGCGCGAATTATTAAATAATTCACTAATTTGGTAGGAGATAATAGGAAATGTTGGTGTTAATTTTATTTAATTTAGTGTCTTGTAAGCTGTAGAAGCCATCTGCTTTGACTTAACAGTGGCATATTGCTTTCATTTTGCCTAGCAACAACGGTGCCTGTTTTAAAAATTTTATTCACGCCAACAACACACTAAAAACACTAGAAAATCTATCACCATTTCCCACGATTTAGCGTTTATTTATCCATTTAAGTAATTGTGATTGACAGTTCGAATGCTTTGTCTATGGTAAGAGATGAGATAAAATTCCAAAAATTTAACACCAGGGGGGATGCTAAATATCCTGTGTTTAACGAAGTATATTGCTTTTACCTTTAATAATCCATTAGGGAATATGGATCATGAAATGCTGATAGGCAATTTTCTAGAATGGTAATACGTGTTGCTACACTAAAACCATAGATTTAACTGGTAATAAGTTAATAATTCCTTAAATTTAATGTAACGTGAAGATATTTAGATAAATTTAACACACTTCAATTGCTTTCGTATCAAGATTATATGCAAATAAACGGACAGACAAACTGACGAGCATAATTCGTTATTAAGAAATAAGGAACTGGCTAACCAATGTTAAATAAATAATAAATTCGAAACGTGAAGTAACGGAAGGGATATTTTTTAATGGCTGTGGATGTGTATAAGTTACATACACGTGCATATTTTAAGTACCGTCACGAAGAATCGAGTAGGACAATAATTAAAGATTTACGAGACAGTTTCGTCACGTACGGGGCGAGGAATCGTCTTAACTTCGACTTCATCACATTTTTAACGACAGATGGTGGTACCACACCCGAAAATACGATCGTTAAGTCTAATTAGAGTTAATACCTCCGAACACATCTGGACACCCAACAGGGCATATAAAGTCCATTAGTTGTAAGTACTAAGCTGTTTACAACCCTATTACACGCATGGTATGTCTAAAAGCTAAATTTTAGAATTAGTGCGGAGTTTTTTACATAAGTTAAAACTGAAAATATTCTCGTAAAAGACGAAGAAAATTGATCTATTTTGGGGTTATTGAAGAAAGTCAGTGCGACAATTTAATTTAAAATTAAGCACATTCAATTGTCAAAGGTGTTAAATACACTACAGTTTAAGGTTATTGTATATATTTGTTAGTCTTATCTATATTTAATCGCTTCCCTAAGGGTGTAAAGTGGGTAATTAAGATAAAGGGGATTATCCCTAATTCAAATTTAAATGGTTAGTTGTGTAGGTAATGGGTTTAATTAAGAGTGAAGGAATTTTAAAAGTAATTTGTTTATGTGAAAATAAGTTTTAATTCTACGAATTTTAGAATCATTTGGTTAAAAATGTAAGATATTTTGTATATTTTTAGTGAGTAAAAACTACAAACAAGCGTATGGAAAAACACTCCAAATCGACAATAGATCAGTGTGAATATCTGCGTATAGTTAGGCGCAGGAGTTTAGGTCAAGTGAATGTCTGTTCAATCTGGCTCCCGTTCTTTACCCCTCCTGACAATAAATGCAGGGATGAGAAAGAATGCGTGCCCAGGTGTGCAGCTCGGTTCTCTGCAAACCCCCTAAGGCTGTGTCGTTGCGGTGCACGGGAGCACAGACCGTGGCTTATGGAGGGAGGCATCGGCTCTAGTCCTGCCTTTTACTAATAGCCGTCACACCTTTAAGATAGTTCTTTATGTTCCCTGGTTTTATCTACCCTTTATCTTCATCCGGAATTCTAAATTTTGTAGTGATTCGTGTACGAAAGGTTCTTCTATGCAACTGTACGGGACGTGGGTAGAATCTCTGCGTGCTTTTAAAAGTCTCGAATTGCTTTACATTACTTTCTTTCTATCTAAATTACTTATTTTCTACATCAATTTCAGCTCTTTACTTCTCCATTTAACTTAATTAACAATTTTAAAAGTAAGACCAGCGGGGATTAACTAAACGGCTTAAATAGGCAATTAAGTGTAGATAAGAATGTTAAACACTTTTTAGTTTAAAGTAATTTGAATTTTACCCTTGAATGAATGTATTGAAACCCTCCTGTTTAGTTTCTTGTACGAAAACACGCGTAATCCTTCAACCATTACACATAAATATGTTCTATGTTATAAAACTCTTGTACTAATTTAAGGGAGGTCCTTTAAAGTGTTGAAAGTAATTACTAAATTAACAGTTGATATATTAAAAATGCTTCAATTTAGCCTCAAATTTTGTTATTAAATTAATCGCGTTCACTTAAAAAAAACAATAAAATTTATTATTAAAAGTTTATCAGAGTTCAACTTTATAATAGAAAGTCTCATACACCGTCTAAAAACACAACAGTTTACTATTAAAAGGTCCTTTTATACCGAAGAAAAAAAACTTTCTCTTTTATTACAAGATCAAGAGTTTATTTAATTAGTTATAATTAAAGAAATAAAAAAAAAAGCACGTAAAATTCTTTTTTAGAGTTTCTAATATTTGTAATCAGAAAGAAAACGGATGGCAGAAAATTGAAAAAAAAGGAAAAAAAAAGTGCCTTTCATTGGAGCAGAACACGAGAGAAAGACCAAAAAATAGATTTTTTTCCCTCTTTTTTTGGACAAAGTGTCAGGATTGAAAAGTCTGACAGATCTTCTGGTCGTGGATTAGATTTTAAATCATTGAATTGAGATCTTTTTGGTGTGTTGCCAAGTCACGTGACCGAAACAGGCCCGCAATGGTTTTTCTATATAGAAAGAATTGAAGAAAAAAAGTGAAAAAATAAATACATACTTGATACGAAACGGGAGCCACAAAAGCAAATCTTTTGTTTGTAATGGTCTTAATTTTCCTGAAGGATTTCATGCTCAAAATAACAATTGTTGTTTAGAAGAATGGAGCCACTGAACTTCTATATCGATAGTGTAAACACAGTTACGCCATTCTTTTTGTTCCTGTGTATATTTTGCCATTACCAACCATTAGTTACAACAATAATATATATATGTATGTGTGTATATGTACAACGGTAATGCACGGTTTGCACCGATACTTAACATTTCTATAGCGAACAGATAAAAAATGAGGGTGAACAATTGTTACGGATGTTTCTAAGATGGCCGCCGGATAGATTTACGACGATATTCTTTTATTCGGGGGAAGAAATTAAGCGAAAAGGGGGTGGAATTCCTACCTGAAGTGACGAGAAGACCGACGTCACCGAAACGGGTACGTAGCTTATGTCTAGTCGCCATGGCAACAATTGGAAGTAGCGAATCAATCGAAAACACTTCACAAAGATGTGGAAAATACGTGATCGAGTAGCTTTGCAGTCACCTCGGTCGAGTGGATGAGGAGGTAAATAGAAGAGGTATCGGGCACACCGACGGACGAACCATTAAAACAATAACAGCAGTAGTTGGGTAAGAACAGGTGTGGGGTTAGAGCACCACTTGTGGTTCGAGTAGGTATCCGCGACTCGATTGTGGCATTCGAGCACGAAATTAATGGTTCCAATTGTTTAATAAATGTGTAGGAGTAAAAAAAAACATGCCCTTATATACTTTGCTAGAATTTTAATTAAAAGCATCCCTTTTCTTACGAGATTCCGACCTTGAAAATTGACTCGAACGGGGTGATTATCGAGTTGTACTTTTAAAAAAAGATGAAGAAAGAGGAGGAGAGGGTGGGAAATTAGCCACTTAACGGTGATGCAGAGCAGTGAATCCACTTTTACAGGATTGAAGGCGTCGAGTGCTTAATACCAAGTCGAAAATTGCCTATTTACTAAAAGCTTGTTTCACACTATGGGGTGAGTCCATTGATAGGCCTCGTCGAGTTGCATAGATGAGAAGTGGTTGTGTACTATTGCTCGTTCACACGTTCCGAAGTATCCCCATACAACGACAATCGGTATTGTCCACATTGGCGATTTAAGTTGTCGCGAGTGTTCTGAAAGAACCTTTGTAACAACGATATCAAAGCTTGAACAAAACGTTTGAATGGAAAGGCAGCGAGACATTGTTAACGAATTGAAAACACAACCTGTTGAGAAAGTGGCTAAAGAACTCGGAAGGATTTTTCCACTACTCTTTTTTTTAACCCTCCACACTTCCTACTAAATCGAGGTGTCCGTTTGTATTCAACCTGCACTAATTGTCGCCTTGCAAACGTTTCGATCCGAAGGTCTTGTTAGAGTCTAAGATACAACTGTCGTTCCTACTCGAGACCTTAAAGAAGAGAAACCGGAGCGCACCTATTGTGTTCCACGAGCCATTCCCACACTCCCGCACCTACTTCCCTACTGATATCGCCAGCTCTACGCACCTACGTCTTTGCCTGTAATTAATTTGCCAATCGTCCCCTACGCGTTATTAATATAACAAACCCATGCGCCATGCCTGTATGTACGCGTTTATAAATATATAATATCCCCAACGCATTTTTAATCAGACTGCTGGGACTTTGAGGCCGTCCGTCCCATCCCCACGGCTATTGTTATAGGAACAATTGATGGGACCCTCCATCCCTCCCTTCCCCGCTTGTGGACATTCACATGAGACTGGTCGCAGCGCTAAGTTGTCCTACACCTGGCTGTCAACTTCTTTCTTCTCCTGACAATATGCTGGTGTTTTCTAGTCGCGGTCTTTCACTTTTATGCGCTCTGGGAATTCGAAAATAACGTACCGAGTCTACAACCCCCCCTGTGCAGAAATCACAACACTCGAAAAGCGCGCTATCTCTATCGCCCGTATTAAATCGTCAAACTAACTTTTATGCTACCGTCTTTTGTGCAACTTTGCGTCCTGGAATCCCCCCTTTGGGGCATTAATGGCGGCGACGTGACACGAGACGTTCCGGCCAGATACGTAGACACCGTTTAATCCTCCAAGCGTAGTCTAAAAGTCGCGCGTGACCCGCCGAACACGTGTTTAGACCAAAGAAGATTTGGTCGTTTAACGGCGTTTGTTTCTTAATTAAGTTATTAATTGCATTTAAGGAATGTTAAAAGTGTTTAATTAATTCGTTATAGATCGGGTGCCTATAAATTTCGGTGGCGTAGAGGAGCGAGACGAGGCATCAACATCCTGCTATTACACGTCAACAACGCCACCTGGATTGGAAGCGAACGGGAGAAAGACCGGGGTGGAAAGGGGGAGGAACGAGGGAGGAAACGAACCCCCTCCCGTCCTCCAGACCGTCCTACTCCAACCGTAACCGCGGTTCCGGTTCGACACTCCCACCGCCAGACGGACCAATGGCTTGGCTAGACAGACGCGAATTAACTAGGCTGCCATTGGCTGGAGTGTCGTATACCGTCAATCAATAGCACGCGCTCGGCACGGGGAGTAGGGCCATAGATGAACTAGCTGCTGGCAGACGAGGACGTTGGTCATTGATGGTGAAGCGCTACGTTGTAAAGCCAGCGACGGTGCAACGATTCTATACAGTCAAAGTACGTGTAGTGTGTTTAAAGTGGACGTGAACGATATCAACATTCGGCCGAACAGCAGCTGCCCGTGTCAGCTGTGCAGCCTGTCCCCATTGTCAGCTGCCAGCCCCACGGCCCCGAGTGAAACGGCAACCATGGATAGGGACTACACGCCGTATCCTTACGGCATGCACGTGGCTAGTAACAGTCTGGACACAGAACCGAAACTTCTCTCGCACCATCCTCACGCCAATCAAATGTGTGTGGTGACAACGCCCAGTCCACCGATGCAACAGGGACAGAGTGCACCCAGGCCCCCTAATACGGGCCCTAGTAACGTGAGTACCGCCAACAACGGTAACAACAAGAAAGATAACGATCGGGTCAAGAGGCCCATGAACGCCTTCATGGTGTGGTCTCGCGGCCAGAGGAGGAAAATGGCCCAAGAGAACCCCAAGATGCACAACTCGGAGATCAGCAAGAGGTTGGGCGCCGAGTGGAAATTGCTATCGGAAGCGGAAAAGAGACCTTTCATCGACGAGGCGAAACGTTTGAGGGCCGTCCATATGAAGGAGCACCCCGACTACAAGTACCGACCCCGAAGGAAGACGAAGACGCTGATCAAGAAGGAGAAGTATCCACTGGCGGGTGGATTACTTCCGGCCGACACCCGCGGACCCGTAGCAGCAGCCGCGGTGCAACAAGTAGGTAGAGAGATGTACGCGGTCAACGGTTACATGCCCAATGGTTACCCCGCAGTTATGCACGATGCCTACCAGCAACACGCGGCTGCGGGCTACGGATCGCAAATGGCGGCCGCAGCAGCGGCTAACGGTGGACTTTACGGTCGTTACGACTTGAGCGGTGCGGGAGCGCAGATGTCGACCCCCATGACGACAGGCTCTAACATGTCCATGCCTTACGTCAACGGTGCTGCTAGCTACAGCATGAACGCCTACGGAAGCAACAACGTGGCCCAAATGTCGGCAGCCGTCAAGTCCGAACAATCTTCTGTAAGTCCGGGACGACGACACGGCTGCACCACGGAACTTCGCGACATGATCAGCATGTATCTGCCTAGTGATGCGGGGGACCAATCCAGACTACAAATGGCCGCTTCTCACTACCCCGACGCGGTAGGACCGGGTACAATGCCTCTAACTCACATGTAAGTTTGTTGCTTCTTCGCCTAATCTCTCGAACTAGACACGTGTATATATATATAGAAAGACTTTTTGGCCGTGTCTGCCGAGACCCAACCGACAGGAAGTCAACATCTACCCAGTTTTTGTTGTATTAACGAACGCCACGCTTACTTTATTGATGTTTTCGTTTTTTCGTATTATGTAAGAAAAATACGGACGAACTGTTGGAATAACGACCGAAATGCCAGGCGCCCAATGCGCCCTTTTTCCACCTCCACCGACTTTTCATTTGTTAAACATTCTCGGGGTGTGTCTGATAACTCCGATCTGATAACGCGCAGATTTTTCACCCTCCGCTCGATTGTAAAGCGACTGGTTTATCCGACGCCGAGGGGGAAGACAAACCCCAAAAAATTTACATTTAAACTACTCCGGAACGTCCTCCTACCTCATTAGATCGTCTGTAAAACACCCGGCCCCACCTCCCGGGCCCAGACGAACCTCTACTAACACTGATATCTATATCTGTGGCGGATGAAGCAACGGAGAAGGCAGAGTTGTCAGATGCATCCGTTGAATGCACCATCGAGCACACTGGCCCACGACCGCAGCCCAGTTGCCACGCTTTTTAAACCCCTTATTTTACCCCAAAATTCTCTGGAATCTTACTACAATGCTAAAGAGATTTACCCCGTGGGCGTGTTTCTCCTGCGTCAATCATCCCTTCCCTGGCCACCTCCGTCATGATTTTTTTTTTTTTTTTTGTAAATACGTTGGCTCCACTTATTAAAATTTCTCTACCCTCCACAACCCGCGAATATCCCTCGGGTACCTAACAATACACGTAGCATAAGTGTGGCCACCATAGACTGCGGTCTCCATGGGACGGTCTCATATATGGTTCTCTCCATCTGTACATAAATGCACCCCTTGGTTATTGTCCTCTAGGCAGTTTGCTGTCTGGAAAAAGAAACCAATGCAAATAAATGGTCCAAGAACATAAAATTGTGTCCTATTATTGAATTTTATTAATTTTTTTCTTTCGATTTTTTTTTTTTTTTGCCGGCCGATTATCGATCTTTTGAGCCAAACACCCGTTTCGTTACAAGTATCTGTTAAAGCGTTACGTACGAAATTCGTAGAAAGGGGTCATCCTACGTGAAATTGAGTAATTTTACAGTCTAGAATTGTCTGTATCGTGGTGTTTAATGTCTGGCGAATGTCGACTAAGCTGGGTACACAAAACGGAGTTTGTTTTGTCGCCAGATGTCGAATGTTTCGCGTGGTGCATTTATTTTTTTTTTTAATATAATTTGGCAATTTTTGTTTCCACACGAAATTTCATCAGGTGCCAATTGCTGCGACAATATTTTATGTTATTTTGTTTGCTTTTCCTCAAGAAGCCAACGCATGGGGAAGACGTAGAAGAGTTTTAAAAAGAAGTAAGTTAATACAACGCTAATTATGCCATTTGTTTTCTATTTGAACGTTGATGTCATTTATGTTATTCTATCTTCCGTTTTCTTGTAGAAATGCTGTCAAAGTTTGATTCGCAACGAGGAAATGCAAGACTTTTCCCCTTTCATACAAGTACGAAGTGAAGGTGAGTGAAATTTTTTTTTTTTATTTCTTGATTGGCAAACAATGTATACATGTGTAGGAACTATACATAACTTTACTGGAGTTAAATGCAAACTTTACACTTATCTCGGGTGCATCTGTTTTAAGTAAGTCATCGTCGTCACCGGATTTTAGGCCGTTTCGTGAATTCTGCTACGATGAACCCAATCTTCGTGCGGCGATTCATCCGGAACCCCAAAAGAAAACGCCTTTTTATCTCGACCCACGCCAAAAAATTTCATTTCTGGGAGGGATGCGACCCCATTTAATCCGTAATTTATGGGGGATTTTGCTTATTAACCGCGGGGTGAAAGAAAGCTATGGCTACTAATGGTGAACTTTGACCCCGTACGGATAGGTCCTTGATTAAAAGTTTGCCCCTCGTGTGCCTTGTATGTCTAATGGCGGATTATTGCTGGGGATGCGTGTGCCGCAGCTGTTATTACTACCGACAGATGGGATGATCGGATTCTAATGGTTCCAGAACGGTCTTAACCGTAAATACTCACCAAAATGCGATTAATTAAACGCTAACTGACGGAAAAATATTAATTTTTAGCATTACAACATTTCGTTTTTTTATACCCACCCCTTTTTTTATTGAATATTCTTTAATTAAATATTAAAAAAATAAAAAATAAAAAAACTGCAGAATTCCAAGCAAATCTGTGAACTGTGACACGACATGACAGATTTTCGACGCACCTCCCTTCCCAGTCTCAGGTACTGTGCATGGCAGAAAACAACCTGGGAGTGGTGACCTTTAGGGGTCATCTAACTGCCCCAACGTGGAAGAGGGTTAGGTCTTCTTTCAAGCTCTCTGCGTGATGTCCGTTCCGTTTTCAATCACTCTTTCAACCATGAACGGTTTTGGTCCAAACAACGAATTTTAAACAAGTTTAAGGAAGCGCTCTTAATAATCCCGTGTAGTTTTCTATAAATAAACTCTTGTCCTTCCCCGTAAGTTCGATTTGCCCGTTTGGAAAATTTTCTACAAAAATTCCAAGGTACAAATTGCTTCGGGTAATGACTATTAAACATCGTCCACTTCATCGCCACGCGTAAATTAATAAAGCAACTAACGGATTAGTATGCAAACCGAGCGCAAAAGCCCTTCGTGAACGGAGGGGGGCACCTCGAAAACCACTGCACAACTAGAAATTCCCCGGCGAGGAACACGATTATTGTAAAATTCTATCCGGGATTAATTCCTCTTTCTATTGGGGAAAGGAAGAACGATAACAGTTAAATTTAATCTGGGGTTAACGCGTCTTGTGCGCAGCAAACGGGGGGAGGGGGTGGAATAGCGAACAATTATCAGTTTCAAGTCCGAGTTGCACCGAACCACATCATTAAATTCAAAGGAGAGACGAGTTAACCCGACCGAGTTTTTGGGTGGGTGATGGTCACGATTTATGACACTGCCCCTGACCCTTAGCGGGCGTGAGGCCGAAATTAGCCACCGTCGGGGCAGTGTCCGACGCGTGTCAGGGCCACGTCCCTTCGGGGCTTCTTTTTCCCCCCTCGGACTCTAAATCTGACAGCGCTACAACTGTCAGTTTAATTACAATTACAGACAATGCACGTCCAGCCGTAAAGCCAAACAACGTTTGCACACTACCTCAAAAGGGTGGGATTCGGAGGCATCTCTCTTCTTCTTCGTCTTGTTCTTGATATATTATTCCATCAGTCGACTGTGGGACAGTAATTGAATTACTTTCATACTCTCTCTTCTCCATAGATTAATTGTATATATTTGTCATGGTAAATTTACTCCGCCACAAGATTATCTGACAAATTATTGATGTTTTTGTGGGTAACGGGGGTCGACGAATCAGACTAGATATATCTAATCTCTCGACGTATTTATCAAAAGTATTCATATTTCAAAAGATGTGTGACCTATTAAACTTTACAAGGACACATTTTTGTCTCTCTTAATTCCAATCTATTCATTTTGTGCTTCTTAATTGGCCAGTCTAATTAACTTAGGCCTTCAATTTTTAATGCTTCCACTGCGTTTTCGGTCTTGTCTTATTTAATTGAATAGTCGCGATTTTTAAACGGGTTATTCTATTTAAAATTTTATCAAGAGTTACGGTTTCGTGACGCTTAACTAACGTAACTTAAGGCAAAACGCACGAGTTGACATTTTGCACAGGGGTGTTGGAACTTCTCGTGTGTATAGTTTTATCATTTATTAATATAGGTGAAGATTGGATTAATATTCCGAAAGACATCGAGTAATCAAAGGGGTAGAATAACTGTTAATAATTAAAAATGAACACTACTCGGTGCTATTAAATTTCGAATCTCTACACTTCGAAAGTATTAGAAGACGGCCTAAATTTATGTTGAACACAAGATAACGCAACATTAAAGTCAGGTAGATGCGAGTTTAAAGGGCTTAACGCTGTTAAAACCGAAAATCACGCCGAAAAGACGACCTTAGTGTCAAATTTTTCTGCTTAGTTAGAACGTCAAAGTGATGGATTTTTGATGCAGAGTTGATTTATTCGCTCTCAATCTATATGTTTACGTCAAGGTCCCTGAAATCACCGAATCAACGGACGATAGAAAACAGGTGTGTTCGTCGTCAAAGCCATGCACGCACAACTCGTGAACCATGCTCAGTAGATCATACCCACCCATCCTCTATTATAATTCTGCTGTCTACCATTTCCCGGATACCTGACAAAAATCATTATACCACAAAATAAATGGAACAGAAATTAAGACCGATTTTTTTTTCCTACTTCAATAGAATGTTTGTGTGTTTGCATCTTGGTATCCTCTCTTCTGAAAAACAAAACTTTCCCTACTCCCTTCCTTGTTTATATATATATCTAATAACAAATCAAAAAAATTTGGGAGTATCGGGAACACGTCGCTACTTTTAACTCGTTCCCACACCATCTAAAAACACTAGCTTCATTACCATAGTCTGGTTATATTAGAATAAAGTGTTATAGGTCGCATGGAGTTTGTCGAACTGTAGGTTGTCTGACACCCACTCGTAACTATCTCCTTCGTCCTTTCTCCACCCTGACCCTTTCCGAAGGTCGTGTGAACCTATCCAGACATTTTATTCAATTGACACTACCGAAAACGCATAAAACTCGATAATTTGGAAACAACTCAAACGGTGCCACTAGGTTTTTCTGTTGTAGAAAAGGCCCTAAATTCCGGCTCACTCCCTTTATACAAAAGTGGCCTAGATCCGCCTTTGATAAAATAGGCCCCGTTGCAAATCGGGCCCTTTGATGGAGATAAATCCTTTACTTCCGAGAGACATATTTGGAAAGGACGTAAAAGAGAAGTAGGCCTTTTAGAATTTCCAATGTTTCTGTATTTAAAAGGGAGTGAATTACACCTTTCTTATTTTATAAAATATAGGAAGGAGTTCTTTTGTGGGGTTTAAGAAAAAGGAAGAAAAAAACGGTAGAAATTTATAAATTTTAACGGTTTTAGAAGGTATTCGTGATGCCTAATCACCATATTATTGAAAGAATCTAGCTGTGTCTGGTATTGTTCGATAACTATCCCTCGGGGCATTAACTACAGAAAAATAGAATCCATTGTAACAAGTTTAATCTTAATGGCGTTAACACAGTAACTATAACTTTTCGGGACTTCTTTTATGCTAAATTCCGATGCCGATAAGACATAAAAAAAATTTCATCCCGAGCGGCAAACGTCCCAAAGGAGGAAATTAAACAGTTAGAGGCACGATGACCTAGTATATGACCCGTTATTATTAGCCAGTCACGTGATTGGGGGTGGCGGAAAACATCGGCACGCATTATAATTTTAATCAATCTGCCGTATCGTTTTCGAACTTTTAACAGATGAAGGAGGGCGATTAAACAATGTACTTAATGATATGACGACATGCAACCACGTTAACATCTTGTTACTCTGGTGGTAATACCAGAGCCGTGGCACGATTACGACACTAGACGAGCGATGTTTTCCAACGTTTTTACATAGTTTGACGGGTCCAAATCTTAGAGTTTTGATGGCAACAAACATACCAATCGATACATAACTCGCTTCTAATTATTAGTTTCATCCTAATCCCTGTATTGTACTTGGATTAGATGGTTCTGTGAAGGGGGATGGAGAAAGATTCGTCTCTCTCCCACAATAGATCGGACGCCGAAGATTATCCGGATTGTATAGAAGAGATGGTATTTGGTGTTACAGACAATGTTGGAAGTATAGATTTAAAGCGTAAATTAACAATAGTGTAACGTAACGCTTTAAAACCCCACTATATTAGAGATTTAGTTGAAAGATGGTTTTTTAGAACTGGATTTGTCGACTTGATTGCATTCATTGCTTATATACCATCCGATCTTTACATTATACAGTTGTAATATTTGCTCCTTACAAGGATGAACTATGACTTTGTACATTGTACAACTTAACTCCGATACTGTAACATAATTTACTCCTTTATTTAGGATGTTTGTTAAGCTATAAAAATACTCTGGTTTGTCTTTTTTTTTTTTTCCTCCTATAATTGCATGCGTTTTTGTGTTTTATTCATTTTCTAATAACTTTTAATGGCGACGGAATCCTTTAAATAAATGTTTAGTTTAATATTAAATTAGAATTTCTAATGTTTTATATAGATTTTATACATTAGAGCAACACAACCGAATTTTAGGCCTTGCTTTTTCCAGTTCATTTCGTGACTGTACTTTTAGATTACTGAGCGTACAACGTCGTACAATTTAATATATTATTCGTTTTATTGACTCCAACGTATTTTAAATCATTTTAAATTAATTTATGTCGGCCATTTTTGCATATATTTATGTAGTTGTCTATGTAAATTCGTATTGGTTTATGTCTTCGAAGTGTCATATTTATAGTTTCGCTAGCGATATTCGTTTGTTTTAATTGAATTTTTACGTTCGAATTTTAATATTTTTGACTGTAAATTATTAATTATTCATAAATACACCAACAATTTGTGACAGTTAGAGCAAGGCGAACATATTTTAATTTACATTTATCCAGTTAAAACTACTCTTCTAAGCTATTGTATCTGCGGGTTATCTAAGGGTTTAAAGTTAGTTTAGAATTTAATTTTTGCTGAAAATATTATTCGGGACAGTTCTTTATATAAGAAATTGAATATATTTTATAATATTTCTATCAGGAATTGTATTAAAATAGGAAATTTATTCGAGTTTTAACATCTGGTTTATGTCAGAGTTGAATCACTTCTTCCTTCATGTGACAACAATGCTCATAATAATCACACGGATTTGACCAGTTTACGAAGGTAATAAATATTAAAAATGGGATATAAACGACATAATGACAAGTGATTTTTATATATTTTCATAAAATTTCACGAAATATAACTTTATAAATGATTCGTTCGTTATCTCTCTAATCCATTTTAAAACGGATTTTCTTTAAATTTTACTGCTAGAATTTTAAAAATGTTTAAATTAATTACATTTGTATAAGATTATATTCGTATTTTTGGTTAGATTTTAATGAATTTAATCTCTACACATTCATTTTAGGCCGATTGAATTCTGAGATTAACGCGTATCGGGAATAGGGAGAAAATTTTGAACTCTTTACACGGATTTTTACAACATAATACACATATTTTTTAATTATAATTAAGTTGTTTTCGTGTTCATTCGAACGTTAGACGAATTCGAAAATGTTTCCCGACTGTAATCATTAAGCAAACATCGTCTATTCCGCGAACATTTTCGTGATTTTCATTATCTGTTAACGAGTTCGGTTGAAAGTTTTGTTTAATTTGCAACGGTTCCGTAATAGAAGAAACCCATAAAAGCTTTTAAATTAAGGATCTTTCGATGTTTAGAACTTATAATTCGGCAAAGAAAAGACGGCCTTTCTTGTATAAGGTGCATATAAACTGGATGCTGTTTAAAGTCGATGCTCTCTCTCTCCTTTGACAACGAGAGAAACACAAAAAGTTATCTTAAAAAGTAATTTTTAGAAAGTTTTTTTAAATGAATTTACAGATTTTTAGTTTAAAAAGTTTGGAGAGGACTAAAGTCAAACAAGATTTTAGTTCCAATACAGAAGCAAAGTTAATGTAGCCTACATAATAGGACTATCGATGTAGGAGTTTATCACAACCAAATTATTGAATTTCTATAAACAGTGAGCATATCTAAGATCACTCTTCTGTAACTTATAGATTACAATTCGATCTGAGTTAGGGATGCAGGTTTTTACACCCCAGAAAAAAAATATATATATATATATATAAGACAAGAAAGAAAAATGCATTTAGTACTTGGAACAGTTTCGGTACTTGGCGCAATTTATGTATATAAATTAGTATTTTTATAGTTATGCTAGATGTACTAGATCGGTTTAGTTTACATATTTCTAACTTAACCTTCAAAAGGGGTGTTTATAAATGGATACTACACAGGATATCCCATGATAGATCCGGAAGAAGACCTTTGTTGGAAGTGAATAGAGGAGGAGGTAGTCGATTATGTAGAAAGTAAAAGCATTAAAGGTTTTATTCTATGTCTGTTTGATACAATTTTCTTTTCTCTTCCATCACAGGAAGCAAAAATCGTGTGTCCTCGGGAATCGTCACGAAAAAGTGGATTCCGTCTTAAAGGCTTAAAGTGGTTGAAGAGAAACGGAGCTTTATGGCTGTGTCGAAGATAACGGCAACTATCGAACACCCTGTCATAAAAATCACATTAGTAGATTTTTTCACCATCCACCTTTTTTTTTTTTTCCTATCCTCCTTCACTTCTTTACCCTCTCCCCTCTGTCTCTTCACTCCGTCTGCCTTCGTACCTCAAAAAAGTATCTGCTGATTTGTACTGTTTCTTATGTTCTTGGCTCGTTATATGTAACTTTTTTCTTCATCTAAGCAATACTTAGACGTCACCTTCGATGCACTCTTAACCTTTTTTTTCGTCATTATCTTTATGTAGTAATTGTCGACTAACTTGCGCTTCCTGAATTGTGATTGAATAAAGATTAAAAATGGTGCCGATTTCACTACTTTTCTTCAGTTTTATACATATTAATACGTGGGTTTCTTCGTTACAAACTCCATCCCTTCGTTAATATAATGAGGCGTATTCTTATAATCCATTTGTTTTTTTTTTCATTCGTTGTATCTGTTTTAACCCGCAATTCTCGAAGGAATAAGATTTTATATCGATTCTCACTTGTTGCAATTCATAAAATTTACATTAATTTTAAATAAAACCCACAAAATTCGGTGCCTGATAGAATTTTAAACGGCATTACATCTAGAAGCACCCCGCTTGCAATGGGCGTTTTTAATGGAATTTCGATGATTTATGCAAATAATTGTTATCTCTATGCCTTAATTATGATAAATATTGTTAAATAAAGAAGAAAATTCTTAGTATTATTTCCCTTTCATGAAGTTTAACATACTTTAAAAACTTGGTTTCTGCGAAACATTTCGTTTTGCATTAATAGGTAAGTTAATGGGGGGAATGCCGTTTGTTGAGTTCCTATAATCCATATGTTAGATAGGGGAAAGAAAAAAAAAAATACAAAGTAGATACTAACACAGGAAGCTGGTCATTATGCGCTATTGTTTACAGCAGACCTAATGTCGTCTACTTTATATTGGACCTATTACGAGAACGTTTTGTTCTACAGAAAAAAAGAGCGAAATTAACCTTTAAAAAACGCATTCCGTAACAATTCTTTTGGTTTATGTTTAATTAATAAGTTTAAACTCGAGATAAACAAATAATAAACTTTGTTTAGGGTTTTAAAAAACTGAAAAACTTAACTAGATGGACACTAATGAATAAAATGAATTAAGGAATAAATCATTAGGTCGAAAGATGACCGGAAACAGAGGGGGAAAAAACAGAGGTTTTTTTTTTACTGAATTTTTATATTCGAAAACGTATTAAATCCCCTGTCGAATAGGGTGACAAACACCATATTTCTCATCGACTTCGCGAGTTGCTCGAGGCAAAGAAATGACACGGAACAAAAACGAACGAGTCGAGTTTTGGCGCATTCTTTAAGACGTGAATTTTTACAAGATTTTGCAGTACTTCTTTTTTTTTTTTTTTTTAAAGCAAAATTAGAGCTTTTATATAATCGCGAGACGGTTTTATCGATTCGAAAAAGGATCTGACAGCCACTTAGAACAGTATCTGAAAAAGAATTAAGAAGGTGAATGCGAGGAAGATAAGTGTTAGACCATCTGTCGGAGACAGCACCGTTTTTCATAGCTTCACCGTGTGGCCACGAGCCATCACTCATCTCAGCGGGTTGGACGACCATCCTGGAAAGACATACCGATCAACTTTCATGCTCCCGAAGCTCTTTCTTACTGAAAAGTTTCAAAGTAACGGACTTGTTTGATAAAGTATAATGTCCCTCTACAAAAAACTTTCTTCCAAACTTTTGTAAACGTCGCTCTCTTTCGCTCGAATAAAATTCCAAAAATACCCACCACCAATCACGTGTTTATATATATATATATATATATATAACACTACGCTTGAAAATTTTAAATGCCTTCGATATAGGTAAATGAGAATATTGGCGTGTGACGTGGTCTCGAAACACACACCGGCATTGGTCGGCGGAAATATAAGACGGGGTTTTCTCGTTGACGTCAGGCGCGTATCGGTCGCGTGTCTCGAAACTAGTAATTATCGGTCGTCATAGAAACCGGGCGAAAATTGGCCAACGTGTGTACACGTCGAGAAATTTGTTAGGTGACATAATGAAAGGTAACAATAACTTGTCAATCTGCTGTCGACAGTTAAGATACGCAAACAAATTCGTTACAAAAGATACGGATCTGAAACGAGTTGATGCTAAAGATGGAAAGGCTGGTGTGGGTCAATAACCCACAACCCTGTTGCCAAACAATACAAATGATAGAGCCAAATGAAAAATGATGTTCGGTTAAGTGAATTATGACGATTTTTATTTTTTTTCTCTTGTCGTCATTGATATTGCACCTAATGTAGTACTGTTACATGCACCATCGTGCTATTAACTGTAAAAGAACTTTAGAAAAATACCGTTCCATTAAGTAAACCGACCCATTTCTTTTGTATTATGTAGTTGATAAACAACCGAAGCTAACTTGCACCATTTTGACCAAGTGTCATTGATAATATGCGAATAGCTTACACTAGATCTTAGTCCAAGATAAAATTTTTCCACTCTAAATTATCCGGTAGGCTTTTAAATTGTTACATTTACCTGAGCATATCCGTAGTTTTGCTTTATTCGTGCTACAAAACTGGTTCTACTCGTAGAGGATTTTGCAACTCCCAGAAACAGAAAATAAAAAAACAAATCTGTTAAACACTAAATTATTTTTCTTTCAAAAATAACAACTTTTGACTTTTCTCAGGCGACAATTTGAAAACGTTGAAATACCACACGATTTCTTAAAAGTTCTTTGCAATTTTTCAACATCTGCGGTGTTTTTTTTTTCAATATTTAGATTCGGATGTCCAACAACAACGCTATTAAGGCGATACTTGAAAGTTGGGTAACGTTTTACGGGTGTTTTGTTGGAATTTCTCAAACTCCTACAAAGTTCTCCTATTGAAAGCGACTTTATGCAAGACGAAAGGACATAAATACACACTTTTTAGTTCGGTTAAACGTTCTTTACGAACCGTAAAGGTGGACCGTCCAATTTAGTATATATTTTCATAGGGGGGAGCCAATTTTTATAGAGCGCCGTCGTACAAACTGCACGCGGTTCAACCGAGCAAACGAGAAAGAAATTATCCAGTATCATTGTCAGACAATTGACGTTAATTATGGGAGATGTCTCATTTATACTTCCGGGTTCCTTTCGTCCTCTTTAACAATAACGAAACGAAAATTTCCCGGAAAAAATCACTCACACGACGCGGAACGTAGATCTTCTCTCTCACCCCTCTATTCCGGATTTTTTCATCAGATGATGATCCTCATAAAGTGGTTTGGACGCGGCACCCTTGCGTAAATTCTCACCCTATGGAGTCAATACAATCGGCTCGGATGGTTGTCGACGAACACAATGTAAGCAACGTTGTGTGGAGGTCGAAAAAAACTTTTTTGTAGTCGCCATATTTAGACTTAATCGTGTCTGGCGGAAATGCCATATTCTGAGTCAGGTCATTTACACTCTTTTCGTGATGGTCCGACACATCAGTTCCCTCGCCAGGGCAGATTTCCTACGACTCTTGTATCGTTAGACTTATCTCCTTCAACATCATTATTCTTTCTTCCCCTTCTTTTCAGTCCAACTTTTATATATATATACATACATACATACACACACCCTTTTTTTTTAACTCTCACCCTTCTTCGAGTTCGAACGGACACGTTCGCAACCGGGTCAACCTTCTAAACAGTTCTATATCAAGCGGCAAAGGGGGATAAATTAACTCGTGTGGTTATAATAACTCAATCTGTATCTTCTGGTGGCGTCTGATCTTCACGAATTGAAGCACACTTGGCATGTTTCTAAAACGCAATCCCAATGGCAAGATGTTATTACGACAAAGTTAATTGGTGTCTGGGTGAGTTGGGCTTTAATTATAACCGCCTCACTTCACTCCCATTGTTTTCACACGTCTCGGATAGACAGGTCGTTAATTAGGTGGCCGTTCTTGTTTTTAACCACGTCCATATTTTTCTTGCGATACAATTTAACACACAGCAACCTCCGAAATGCGATAAAAATCCGTTTCTTTTCCTCTATCCGTTCTCGTGTGCCCGGATAATTCTATAGTTAACACGTGTGTCTTCGATTGTCTTATCGCTTTCCATCGGTGTCAAAATATAAATATTCAGAAAATATAATTTTAAAAACTTTTCTAAGTCAATTGTTTATAATTCAAAACGGTTCATCCTTCCGATCATACTGATGATTGTTGAGGATGCTCAGGATCGTTTTTACACGGCATTAAATAATGATCCTGAGTATCACAACGTGAAATGCCTAGAATATAATAGAATGATCAACTATTTTTACGAAAAATCTAATAATTTCAAGCATTTTTGAAAGGATCCAAACAATCGACACACTTCCTCAAGCTTACAAATTTCGGTATTATCTTCTAATCACGGATCTGGCACACATCTTGAGGTATTGTATATGATTACAGGATCCTCATAGAATTATTTAGATACGGCATTTCATTGGGATCTAAGTTTAAATCTGTTAAATTTATCATATCGAAACAATTGAATCCCCTAATTGGCATCATCTGAGATTTGGAATTAAGTGTTTTATTTATTTATTTCTAAAATTAGATAATAACAGACTAAATAAGATAAAACTTATATATAATATCAGTTAATTTAAGAAATAAAATGGAGAAAATTAAATTCTAAACTCAATTTAGAATGGGATTTATTAATTTTGACATCCACGAGTCCGAAATTTTCGAATATTCATCAAGTTTGAGCTTAGAATTCACTCAAATTTAAAGTAATAAATAACAAAGAATAGTTTTTAATTTACATTTTTAATGTAAAAAATTGGAGGAGAACAAGATTTTGGATCCAAAGTTGGAATTTTTATCTTCTTTCCAAAATCTGAATCGATATGGAATTTTATCTCTTGCGAATCTAAACAAATTTGGAATTCTTCCAAATCGGAAATACCTCTATAGACACCTTTAAATGGGTTAGATTTACAAGGAAAAAAAATCCTCCAAATTTTGAATCTTTAATCGATTTGATTACTAAGATTATGGATAGAATAGAATCAAAGAAAATAGTTTTGTAACCGAGAAACTTAATTCCGAATGCTTAAGAAGAAGAAAAGAAGATAATGCTTGTAGCTAAGGGCTTAAGAAACTAAGAATAAAGATTGGTGAATTTTAGAAGATCAAGAAGGGAAGATTAAAAATCAATAACTTTATAAGATAAAGCACTAGAAACTTCTACAAGAACAATGATTAAGGACTAAGGACGAAGGTCTAAGAATATAAAATTAAACTTTTGAGGTGTAAGAAGCAAGCTGAAGGATTACAAAA